TGTCTTCATCTCTAGAGTCATGCTTAGGGATGATAGTAATCAACCATTCTGGAAAGAAAAGTTCGTTAACGGTCTCCCAAACTTATTTGCTCATAAGATCCGAACCACCCTTAGTAATGAACAAGGTCATATAGATTGGGATAGCTTAACGTACGGTAATATTATAAGCACAATTAATCAAGTTGGTATGAAAATGTGTATAGATTTTAAAATTGGTAAACAGATACAGTCCGACAGAAAATCTGTCAAGTACGAGTTAGGGAATTTCTGCGAACAGTATGGTCTTACCAGCCTTCCCCCATCCAGAAAGAATAAGCCTAGTCACCTCCGTAAGAGTCGCCATTATTCTCGTAGAAAACAGTTTTCTCGACATAATGATGATTCACGTGATTTTTACAAGCGAAAGAAATATGCTCCCAGGAAAAGTTGGTCTAAAAAGTCGAATAAGCAAAAGAATAGTCGCACTGGTAAAAGCAAAGATAAAAGCAAAGTTAAATGTTTTAAATGTCAAAAGTTCGGTCATTATGCGTCCGAATGCAAAGTCAAAGACACTATTAAACAGTTGAAAATTACGGATGAAGATAAAGAAAAGTTGATAAATGTTTTAGAATTGCGAGACTCTGAAGCAAGCTACACTGAGTCTTTAGTTGCCAGTTCCGAATCTGAGTCTGATCAGTTTTCAGATTCTGAACTAAGTTCACCCACAGTCCAAATTGGTTGCACAGATAAATGTTGTAACAGGTTAAAATCTATTTCTGTTCTAACCAAACAGGAAGAACAGGAAGAGTTATTAATTGACTTAATAAGCCGAGTAGAAAATCCTGAGTTAAAATCTGAATATTTGAAAAAATTAAGAAAAGTTATCAGTCAGGAGAGTCAAAGTCCTTCTACCCCTCAGCCTGTAAGTCTGAACACAACCTTAGAAAAATTTGCCAAAAAGAAAGAAGTTACTTTGCAAGATTTACAGTTAGAAGTAAAAATGGTAAAAAAGGAAATAGTTGAGTTAAAACAGATAAGTCATAAGTTGCAAACTGAAAATTATGAGATTAAACAGGATCTAGTTCGTCTTTTAGAAAAAGAATCCTCTGAGTCTAGAAGTCAGTCAGGAAGTCCTCATCATTCTGATGAAGAACCCTCTGACAGCAAACAAGCCGTGAATTTAATCCGCCAAGTTAACTTTAGAAAAAGGTATTCTAAAGTCACCATATTTGTCCAAAATTTTGAATTCACCACAGTTGCCTTGTTTGATTCAGGAGCCGACCTTAACTGTATCCAAGAAGGTCTAATTCCTACTAAGTATTACCAGAAGTCTAGGGAATCCCTAAGTACTGCCTCTGGTAGATCCCTGCAATTGAATTATGAAATACCAAAAGCCCATGTATGCCAAAACAAAGTCTGTTTTAAAACCTCATTTGTCTTAGTTAAAAACATCACTGATGAAGTTATCTTAGGTCTGCCTTTCATCTCTCTGTTGTATCCTCTACAAGTAGATTATGATGGTGTCATGTCTACTTATTTAGGAGAAAACGTTAAGTTTGAGTTCCTTTCTAAGCCGGAGTTGCACAACTTAAGAACTTTACAAAAACAGTCTGTTTCTAAGTCTGTTCAAGTCATTAGAAAAGTCAAACAGTTGAATTTTCTGAAAGAAGAAATTAAGTTTAAAAGAATCGAACAACAGTTAGAAGATGAGTCTTTACAGTTGCAAATCCAACAATTTGAATCTAAGTTAAAAAATGAAATTTGTTCTGATTTGCCTAACGCTTTCTGGTATAGGAAACAACACGTTGTCAGTCTTCCCTATATCAAAACCTTTAGTGAGAAAAATATTCCCACTAAAGCTAGGCCAATCCAAATGAGTCAAGAATTAATGGAATTCTGTAAAAAAGAAATCTGCCTAAAAGTAGTCGTCCCCCTACTTGCCTAAAAGTAATTCCTATTTGTTTATCATTGAGCCAAATTATGAT